AACCTTTCTTATGTATAAAAGCTTAGAGTTTTTTCCATGAAACCAGACTAATAGCTTGAAATCAACTGAAGGTATGTCGTTATTTGGTTAATTTATTTCTTCATATTTGGATTTCCTTAAGAAAGTGTGAACTTTAAGTATCTTCACCTTCATTTATTCTAATTCTATTTTTGAAGTTAAAATATATGTACAGCAAATTTTTTTCATGACATTAGGAATACGTTTTCAAAATGATTATATAACTTGGTTTCAATCAAATTTACTCAAGACATAATTTTCATGCTTTTTTGTTGCCAGATTTTAAAAGTTAGATTATTAAACCCATTCTATTGTGGGCCAAGGAAGCGATAAAAGTGCTAAGCTATTCGCGGACCACTCTAAGCTGGCTGACCTCACTAATTACTGGACATGGCAACTTCAAGTATAACCTCAAAAAGATAACTCTTGCTGAGGAAAACACTTGCAGACTATGTCTTGAAGAAAAGAAGACAGCGGTGCATATATTGTGCCAATGTCCAGCATTGGCAAGTAGGAGGAAGCTGCTTGCATTAACAAAAGATGTAGTTATGCGAACGGAAGCCACACCAGCTTTAACTCAATAACGACATCCGAGAATCGAAGGACGAAGAAGGACCCAAGTCGTTTCGTGGTTTACTTCGACTAATCCTTCGCCTCAGTGGGGTCACTTGTTGGACAGTGAGCTGCCCCAACGTCCCACCATATATATAATAAACCCATTCTATAAAGTTTAGAAACATTCGTATCTAAAAATATTAGCAGTAACAAATCCCAAAATTTAATTATTTGTTTATAAAAATACCAATTTTTCATGGAATACATTTATATTTATATCTTAAATATAATATATTTAATTTAGATAATTTTTTAATATATTATTTTAGTTGAATTTGATTTTAACTTTAGTTATGACGGCAGTAACTTTTTAACTTAATAGCAACTATTATATTTAATAGAAAGGTTTTGAACAGTACTAAATTGCAACAACAAAATTTTTTATTTTTAGTTTTTAAAGTGGTTTTTTCGAAAAGTAGTGAACACAACAACAAAAATTTTATATTATTTTAATAAATTGAATTCTTGTCTGTCCAAATAGGCAATTTTATTTAAAAATAAATAAAATTTTTTGTAGTTGCAATTCATTACTGATCGAAAGCTTTCTAAACAATTATTTTGTAATAGTATTAATTTAAATAAACAATTTCAGCAAAAATAAAAAAAATAAATTATTATTTCAAAGAAATCTTGTATTAGTAACATAACGTTTAAAAATAAAATAATATACACCAAAAGATTTATAAATTTAATTAGTTGGAGTGAAAAATAAATTTTTTAATTTATTTAAATATTTTGTAGTAAACTTTAACATCTACACGAGGAATATTGAAAGCCATCCATGTTGAAAAGAAAGCATACTCTCCTGTTGGTAAATTTATTGGTAGTGCCGATAGTTTACTATTCATAAAATTAGTATCAAGTTTTTCTATAATTACATCATGCTAAAAAAAATTTAATTCGTAATTATTATTAATGCCTAATAATCATAAAAAATAATATACATACATCATATGGACAAGTATGATTTAGATTTGAGTAATCTCTAAAAAAGCTATAGGTTAATCTTGATAACGAATCCTTGTGCGATTTAAAAAAATCACAAACATCAAATGTTAAGTCGATCAGAAACGGCTTATATCCATTAGTTTTTCTTAAAACGGTCCAACGTACCTATATTTTACAAAATAAAATAAAACTAGTTGTAATATATATTAAAAAATAAATAAAATCAATATTAAATTACTGATGCATTTGTCACCGGTTTTTGGAAGAGTTTTGCCTTTATAGACAAATACTTGTAGGTACGATTTATCGATCTTAAATAGCAATAATCGAAATCGGTAAATTTCTTATCAAGAGACGTACATTTTATATTTGTGAATTCCACAGAACAAGATACCTGAAATATTTGTATTTTAATTTTATTATTTTATTTAAGATTAACGAGTTTATTTTACCTGAGTTGAAAAAAATAAAATAGTTATAGTAAATATCAATAAAATGTTTGCTAATAGCATTTTCACATCTGCACTACAGAAAGCAACTTTATAATCGAACACCTCAATTTTGACTAAAATTTTGTGTACAATAGTTACTAATTATAATATATTATTAATACCATTATTAAATTTGCGTTATAAAATGCATAACTTTCATTAGTTGATGTATAAATAATTCCTCAATTTAATTTAATTGGCTTCATTGAACAGATTAATTGTGCTATAATGGCAAACATATTATTTATTGCTTTAAATGTATATTGCAAAAATTTCTTGTTTACTTACCTAGGTATTAATTATTAGTAAAATTTAGAATAAATACTTAAATCAATTAAGGACGTATACAAAAACAATACTCTGGGGAGGATTTTTAAAAATTAATTTATAGTTCATATGGAAACAATCATTTAGAGAAAGTCTATTTTGGCAAGTGTAAGATTATCACAAATATTTAAGAAGCAGTTTGAGTTCGAAAACCGTCTCTGTCTATACTCCACTTAATATATGTATATTAACAGGGCAACGATCTTTCAGTTCACCACACTCAAAACTCTTACGAAAGCTCGTTTTAAAGATATTTCGTATTTTGGCTTCGGTCCTTTGCCAGAGTGATAGCTCTTTGCGTTTTTTTAAAGACCAACTGAAAGATCTGCTATTGATCAGGTCTTTCGATTGTCAGCTAAGATTTTGTTTACGTTTTTTGTGTATAAACTTTTTTTTATATAAAATAAAATACATACTTTTAACAGAAGATATACTTGGCTAGAGAATATAAGGGCTACAAACTGACTTTTTATATAACGTTGAGTACTATAAAATCATTTATACAAGGAAAGTTGAATGTGAGAAAAAAAGTCCGCTTTAGTTATAAGTAAATAATTAGATCTAAGCGACTTTATGGCAGCTGCCATAGCTGCTCTATCTATCATTAGATAACTTCAAACTTAACAGACTTATTATACTGATATGTACTGCTTAAAGCTTCATGGTGTAACAGAAGTTATGATATAAATAAAGATCTGAGAGTCTTTATCACTATTGACTCTCAAGTATATTAAAGACAGAATTCGGACATTGTTTGATTCTGTAGATGCACATACTAATGAGAATTACATTCTGTATAATAAAATACAATATATATTCCATTAAAACGAAACTCTTGTTACAGTGGATAACCAAAGTTACCACTGACACTGTTGAGTGAAAACACTTCAGACACTTTCTTCCGATTTATCAAACAGAGAAGAAGAACAGTACGTGATATAGATCAGCATAAAGTAACGCATCAACTAAGCGATGTTCATGTCTTGTACTGTGTTAATTAGTCTCAAAGTTTTTAATCTAACTTTAAGAGATCTTACGTGAAGTCATCTAAAAGAGTAAATAAATAGATGAAATAGATGAAATATAAATTCATATTAATTTTTATATGTACATTTTTAAATAAATATATAATTATTATTTGTATACAATTTTCTCCTAAGTTACGATTGTTCAATAAGTAAGAGTTTTTCAGTTTACTCTAAACTGAAAGAAGAGTCCAAGGACTTAGGGTTTTTTTTCGTTTTTTGTTAATTTGCTGTTAATTTAATAATTTTTGTTAAATCCTCCAAGTTCGAAAATATAAGTGAAGTACGGCTTTGCGTCAGTTGGCTAATGAACGCTGACTCTGAGCTTCACATTTGGCAGGGTACCACCTCAACCTTTGATACTTGCAGTATCAAAAAAATTATTTATGAATAGCTAAATATATTATATCTGAATACTTAAGTATGGACACAAAACTTCCGATAATTAGTATAACTTAATTTGCTATGTATATCAAAAAATATTCAATGAAATAAAAAAAGGTGAAAGTACTTCATTTATAATTAGTCAACTCAGTTATGTTATGTTTACAACAGCACTAAAGAAAAAATCATCAACAAAAAGAAAAAGGATTCAAAAATCCTTAAATTGTTTAAGTGATTACTTTTCAGGTTATCTTTTATTTGTAAAATGCAAACCCTTTACCGATTTTGTTTCACTTTGAGAATCTTGAGTATCTTTTCCTTTGCTCATGTGTTCGTTTATCTGCACTACTCGTAATTCAATTTGTTGAGTTTGCAGAGGCTTCTGTAATATAAGTTGTTGAAGTCAAATTTTTAAGTGATATAACCAACAACAAAATACACTACATCCGCTTTAAAAACAGCTGGTACTAAATTTTAAAGTAAAAGGTGTGTTCGTGAATCATAGAATTTTTTTTTGGAGAGGTTTCAAAAAGTAGTGAATTGTAACAACAAAATTTTTATTTATTTTTAATTCATTGAGTTTTTAGAACTTTTTCATAAACGAATGCTTAATAAGAAATGGATACTGAGCAAAATCTAAGTTAGCGGGAAGACTCACTTCTGTATCACTAACTTTCTCAATAAGTCCATAGAGCCGAAGTCCATAGAGAAATTCGAAATCTCACTATTTCTGAGCATATTGAGAGAATTTATTCAGTTGTTTGTATTTCTCTTTATTTTCTATAGTTTCTTTATTACATAACAGGGGATATTCTCTTTTTCGTATGTCTACTAGGCAGTGACCTGTCAACACCACAACCTGTTTTGTGACTTCAATCCTTGGTCTGGCAGCTGCATTTTCGTTTTCATTTCGGTAAACTGAACCTTGGCCATGATAGTTTGTTTTCTTTGAAGTCTGTAGTATTTCTTCAATTTTCTGTTAATGTTCAAAAATGATTTGGATATGTTTTTAAGGACCTTTTGCGGATACGAGCAAATGCTCTCTTCTCTGATAAGAATACTTTGGATCTTAGTTTTGCAGTTCATTTGTAATTAAATTTGTTTGTATTCTCCGACCATATCAGTTTGAATTTTTCAAAATCTACCATAGTATTTCTTCAACATTCTGTTAATCTTAAGATATCTGAAATGTTTTGATAATGCTTTTAAGCAGTTTTTACTGATATGAGGTTTTGTTTTTCTGCTGAAGATACTTTGGGGCTTAGTCTTCTAGTTTATTTGGAATTTTATTTCTTTGTATTTCTTTGTAGACACTATGCACTGGTTATACCTTAAACTCAGTTATGTTTTCTACTTCTTTAGTGCCTTTTATTGTATATTGTATATTGTCTACATTGTGAGAAGAATATAGCTCTACTGTCATAGACCATTGTAATCTGTTGATTTCGTAACTACCTTTTTAAAATCAGTTGATCTGCATTTTTAAAAGCAAAGATTTCAGCTTGGAAGATACTGAATGAACTAATAAAGTAAACCGATCTTCTTATTTTCGTGTGAACTAAGAAGATTTTTGTAGATTGCACTTTCGAATCATCTATGAAGACATGGTAATCTATTTTTGGCTGTGATTGTTTCATTAAATGAAAGAATTTTTGGAATCAGTTTTCGGTATATATGTAAATTATGCTTACTTCCACCGTATGTTATGGTGTAGCAATTACTACTAAGCTATGTCACTTAGCTTTAGCTTTCCAAGACTCACTTTCATGTAGTTTAAGGGCAGCGATTGATGCACTACTTTAAGTCTGCAGCTCTTTAAGTAGTGTTATGTGATTAATGATATTGAAAAACGCTGAAGAACTGATTCCACATATGAATTATCTGTGAAGATATAATAGCTTGAGTTTAACCTTAAAAAGAAGGTTAGCTTGAGTTTAACATAAATAAAAGAATTCTTAAAATTTATTTTTAGAGCACAGTTAGGTCTTCCAGTTAGGTACTACTTTTAATCTATAGTTTAAACTAGCATCAAGTGAGAATGACATTGAAAGGCTTTGAATGACATATTCTCATAGCCTTGTGGCACCAATGGATGTTACTCTCGACATCTATCCGGATTTGTTAATATGATACGTATGGCTTTTAAACCATTGCTTATCAGAATAGGAAACCTTAGTAGATTATGTTTTAGCCGTCTACATTTACAGAAAGGTGCTATAATGAAGGTCTCAGTTTTATTTCATAAATAAAGATTATTTTGCTTTTAGTCTTTACGGGTAATATTGGTAGACACAATATCTAATTAGAGAATATAGGTACATTGTTTTCGTTGCAAAAGTGAATAATTTTTAATCAGATTTAGATTAGTTTAGTTGGTTTTGCTGAATAAAAGAACACACTTCAATGATTTTATTTTGGGTCTTAATTGACCTATGTTTTTCGTTTATCACTAGGAAAAGTGCTATACTTTTATAAAGTGAAATAGTATATCTTTTGATCTAATTTACATTAACTAAAGATATTTTGTGAAATTTTTTATTTAGCATAAATAAATAATTCTAAAATTGTAGTATTGAAATTTTTGAAAATTTCATAAATAATACCTTTTGCTTCCAGCCCTTTCGAGTTTCAAGTTTCGAGTTTTGATAAAAATGAACATGTAAATAATGTACCATTTTTTGAAGACTGCAGGGTATAAAAATGGATCAAAGCGCTTGAAAATCGCTTTGAAGTGGCATCTTGCACCACCTTTACACGCAGCACATTTGCAATTCAAAACAAACAATTTACATGCAACGCAATGCAAGGCAGCAACAGTTGCAGTTGCACTAACAACAACAACAACAACATCAACTACATCAACAACTATTTTTGCCTTTGATGATTGGATGGAAAGGGAAAAACTGAAAAGAAAAATTATTTGCTGTAAGCACTGGAAACTTTTTTTAACTCTAATTAAATTGCAAACGAATAAAAATGGTTTGAAATATTTGAAAAATATTATTTTTCCTTCGACTTGGGCCCCCCCGTTTTCTCATCTTACCAATGAAAATGTAACTGATTTTTGCACAATTTCGGTTCCTACGAGTGTGAAGTGTGAATGTGCAGTGCTGCTTTTGGCAAAGTTTCAAATTATACATTGTCAGTCAATTTACCAAATCCTAAAA